ACCTTTGTCGATCAGTACACTTCTGTCAATGGTGACACCAGTCGACAAATCCGCATCAAAGAAAAAAACTGGGTGGTAAATCTAAGAATCCACGAACTTTTTTGCCTGGTCCTGATTGATGAAGTATTTTCCAGCAAGGAAGTTCTGAAAATGTTTGAAAAGGTGATAGTCGGTTGGTGAAAGGTCTGGAGAATATGGCGGTGAGGTAGAACTTCAACCCCCAATTCGTTCATTTATGGATAGTGATTTGTGAAACGTGTGGGCGGGCGCTGTCATGCAAGAAGATGTGGACCCTTTCTGTTGACAAGTGCTGGCTGCAGCTGACGCAATTTTCGGTACATTTCGTCGATTCCTTCACAGTAGGGTTCTGCTGTGATGGTTTGGCCTGGTGATAAAAAGTTATAGTGGATCACACCAGCCGATGACCACCAAACTGTGACCAGAATCTTTTTGAGGGTTCGGCTTTGGAAATTGCCTCAGTGGTTCGTCGGAATCCAACCACCGTACGGAACGTCTCCTGTTATCACACATAACTCACTTTACATCATAGGTGATAACTGGTCCAAAAACGGGTCGTTTCTGTTGCGCAAAAGCAGTGAAGAAGAAACCTCGAGACGTGCCAATTTCTGCCGGTCACTCAAATTGTGGGCACCCACTTGTCGAGTTTTTTCACCTTCCCAATGCGTTTCAGACCATCCGCAACAGTGGATTTGCCAACGCCTAGCTTTTCTGCAATCTCTCGAACTGTTTGGGATGGGTCAGCCTCCAGAAACCCCTTCAAATTCTCGCCAGTATTGTGTTTAGGTCGAACCCTAGGAGGTTCATCTTCAGGCTGGAAATTCTAGCTCGGAATTTGTCGAACCATTGTCGCACGGTGCTTTCTCCAACACTATTAAGGCCCCACACCTGGTTAATTTGTCGAGCTGTCTCGACTGCGGATTGACCCAATTTTTAGTTGAAGAAAAATATCGTCCGAAGTTGCTCTTTTGACATGCTTCAAAAAGTCTTGGGAAAAGGGGGGGGGTTAATCCAAGCATGTGAAGACGGCAACTGACCATCAGATAGCGCAAAAAAAATTTTCTTCAGGATGTACTACTGAGACGCAAGGGAGAGTGGTTTCTAATCAGCAAAGAATGTACAAAAAATATCCACAAAACGCTGAGAACTTTCCGGTACAACCTAATACAGTTTCATCTTCGTGCATCGTGGCTTAAGTATTTAACGTAAACGAGAAATGTCCCAATTGCTGCCGTGCACATACAGTCGTCATCCGGGCAGTTGATTAGGCGGTCAAAGGGTCGCAGACGCGGCTGCGGCGCGTCACGACCGCGGCGATCAGCTGTTTCCAGCCTGGTTTAGCCATTTTCTCCCTAATTTTCACTGTATTTAGATTTAGATTTTAAATTCATGTGCTGTTGCGTTTGTCCACTTTTTAAGGCTATTTGTGTTTTGTTTTATATAATAGGACGTGTACTCTTCTTTCTGTTGTTTTGTGATGTTTTTTGCGATTTTTTTTTCAGTCTGTTGTTGATTGTTTCTTTTAATTGTTCGCGGAGAATCAGAGTAAATCTCAATAAATAATAATTTACCATGTGGTGAATGAGGAACAACCAACCTTGAGAGAACGGCAAGAACGTGGAATGTTGGGATAAAATGACTAAACCAAGCCGGAAACAGTTGAATAGTTCCGGTCGCTGATGCAGCCGCGTCTGCGACCCTTCGCCGACGGCCTAATCAACTGCCCGGATGACGACCTTAACTCTATTCTAATAAGCGACTAACTTTGTTTGTTTGTTTGTGTGTGTGTGTTGTGTGGTGTGGCGATGTGTGTGTATGTATGTCGTAGCGTGTATAGAATGTATGTATGCACGTGGGAGACAGAAGTGGATATTTCAGTCTGAGAACAATCTGCTTGCTTGCTCTCTTGACAGTGACCGCGGAGCGGCTAACAGTTGTTCAAAACGAAAGCATCTTATCAAAGTCAAGCTGCATTCGCTTCGGGTCGTCAGGATTTTAATTAAGCCGGCAGCCACGTCCTAAAATTTCAAGAGGGAGTTTTGAGTGGTGTGTGATTGCGTGCGCGTGGGTTTGTGGCACCTTAGGTCTGGTTCACTAAGAGTGGCGCGTCGGCTTCGCTGGGTATCTCGTGCTGCGTGCGTTTTTTCCTGGCTGCTGCGGCTCACGCGGGTATTGGGAGAAGGGCGCGGGCGTCGTTGGGTTTGGCGCGCCGCGGTGGGGTGCACGCAGAGCCTTTGTTGGTCGCGGTTGTTGAAGCGGCAAGCGACAAAGTTGTGAAAACGACATAATTATAACGATATGATACAGTCTAGTTGCCTGATCACCTCAAGTGGAAAACGTTCGGCGTTGACCAAATCTTCCCGCACGACACGCCCTTCGTCCGCAGAAATTAGATGTGCCTCGCGTGCGTGCGTGGATGCTTCGTGCGTCAATTTGTTTAATTGTTGCAGAGGTGAAGAAACGTGCGGCGGTGGCCGTGCTGAGGACAAAACTGATCGATATAGTGAAATAAAAGCTGTATTTCTGTAAATATTTTATGAAGTTCAGAGTGCCTTTTAAAAGAGACGGCGTACTGTCGCGATAGTCGCACAGAGGGCACAAAAGAACATTTGTCGAGGCACATATCAGTAACCGAAAGAGAGAAGACGGTACGCAGTATAAGAATAACCCAAGATCTTCTCGATAAGCAGGAGCAAAGGAAAAAAAATTCTTTTTGCCCCCATCACTTTCATATGTATGCCAAATGTAAAACATCTGCAATGCGCAGCCTACTGAAGAGCTTATGAAATCAGTCACCCCTCCCAAAGCTGCGGCACTTCTTGTATGGAGTCACCCATGGAGCTACCTGGGACCGGCACTCTTGATCTGGGAGATTTCCAACATCGAGCAGTTCCGACAAGGTCGCTGTGGTCCAGGATATCATCTTCTCTGCCGTCACCAAGAAGCGACTGGAAGTTCTTGGAATGGGAAGACCGATATTGTCTTCTGGACCCAGCATCTCGGGGAGAATATCCTGCCTTCATGTTGTTGCATGTACCGTCTTGGAAACTTTGTACTGCTACAGGGTAGGCCAGCACATGGAATCGAAAAACTCTCGCCTACTTGGAATCGAAGGGCGTTGAGTACCTGAAGAAGACGGAATATCCAAGTGTGTCACCTGACCTAAACCCCTCAATTACCGGGTTCGGGCGGAGCTCAACAGGGTGGTCTACAGTGGCGGAGAAATCAACGACTTCGCTGAACTCAGGCACCGAATCACGGTCGCGTGGCAGAATCTTTCGATGGCGCCCAGAAGGCTGTGGAGGAGTTCGTGATCGTGTACAATGTGTTGTTGAATTGACGGGGGAAATGTCCAGTCAGAATTTAATAAAGTGTAACTTGTAGCGCCTCGAAAATCGAGAAAAGTGCCTTTTTGGACCCCTTGTACACCCCAAGTGGACCAGCGCCGGAAGCTGCTAATCGAATTCATGATTAAGCACAGCCCTTCGCATTTCAGAAGAGTTGGGCCTATCTCGAAACGAGAGGCCAATCTCCTCATGGGTCGTGAGTCACCCTGTAAATCTGTAGTAAGTTATTCTAATACATTCAAATATAGTGCGAGTTATGAGCCGCTAGGAAAGTTCAGGAGTAGAGAGTGATTACGTGAGAAAGGGTAAGAAAAAAACTTCCTGCTTCCGAAAAAACTCGCCTCGAAAAAAAATTCGAAAAATGCAGCGCGCTCACGCTTTTTCATGGTTTTTCTTGCTATGTCGCCGTTTCTTTCGATTTCTCTCTACAAAAGACTTTCCATTCCCTGTGTGGAACGTTGTTCACCGCATAAGCATTTGAAACAAGCTTCACACTGAACTTTATTTTCCGCAAACAACTAAAGTGTAGCGATAAATTCACTAACTATCCTAACATATGATGAGTGTAACCATGCGCATAATTTAAGGCATCACATGAAAACCCGACATTGAGCCAGAGCACCAAATCAAGACAGTGAGAGACAACGTTCCGGCTGTGGCAAGTGTAGATGATATGAATTCATAACTGAAGAATCCTACATCTTTCGAAGCCTATTCCGTCTTCATTTCGAAGTAAACGTGCTCATCGTTGCTCTTACGGAAGCATTTGTAGGTCTGAAAAAGATCAACATTATGGGCAAATCCACGTTGCCGTATGGGCGGGGTCAGGTCAATTATTCTTCCTCCGCAAATTGGTGCGCCCATCTTCATAAAGTAAAATGAAGGGAGGCGTTAATGAGGAAGGCGCCACTGCATGTCGGACTCCGCCTATACGGTCAACAAGGATGTGTATGTTTCTTCAGTTCATGAGTAATCCGTGGAAAGAAGTGTAGCTATAAACTGACATACCTTTTTGCCGACTTTCAGCTCTGTGTTCACATTGATCGTCGTTTTACCGTCATCGATCAAACAGTTAAGAATGATTGTGGAGCCATCTGGGGTGCATTTCTTCGTGAATTTGTTCTCAGAAATCCACC